CCGAAAAGAAAAAACGCGTTTCGAAACGTAACCGCTCGGCAAAGGCCGATGGGTATCATCGTTATTACCTCCGAGGCAACCTCGGATGTCATTGGCGGGCGAAGGGAAGCGGACGAGTATCGGTTTCAATGGTGTCGCGCACCGAAAGTGACACGGAGCCGCGGATACCGTAGAAAAGCTTACAGGACCCCCAAAGGACCTCCCGTCGACAGCCTTTCAATGTTTGAAAGTCATACCCCGGTGGTGTGCACCGTCGACAAGGGGACCGAAAGCGAAACCACTCGAGAGAAGGCCGAGAATGGAGAGGGGCCTCATGGCCGTTCTGAATAGAGGCGTGTACAAACCCTGGTGCACGAGAGAAAGAGAGAGAGAGAGAGTGGTCTCTGCGAAAGCGATCCACCTTTGTGTAAATAAGGCAATAAGGCGAACCGAAGCGGGATTATTCTTCGGTTAAGTCTGTGGATCGGATTATGGGGTGGAAGAGAGATGGGTAGATATCGATAGTCTCTATTGGGATGTCACGAGGTATTTTTCTGTACGCGACGCCACTTATTTCAAAGAGTTGGAGAAAGATGGCGTGTATGCTTGAATCACGTGTTTCTATTACGTGTATAATTAATAATTACATCTATCTGATTATTCAAAACTTATTTAAAATTCTTATTCAAAATCGCTCGATTTTTAATCTTAAGAAATGAATAGATAAGTTACAAATGACACAAGTTCGTGATAATTGATTTGGTATAACAACTTTGTTCGAATAGAAGAGTTAAAAAAAAAAAAAAAAAAAAATGGACGATTTAATAAAAAGTCGGATGGAAGGAAATTTTAATTGGGAAAAAAAAAAAAAAAAAAAAATAGGATAAAGAAAAGAATTTTCGAATTTAAAGAGCTTTAACTCCGATGCGAAAGCTTCGAATCATTCCCCCTTCGAGGAGAAATCGGGGTCTTGGTGGGTATCATTCTCATAATAAACCCGAAAAAAAATCACGCCCCTGACGGTGCGAGAGCAGAGAGAGCCGAGGAATATTTCGGGGCCGGGTAGAAATGGGAGGGGTACGTCGGTTTACCATAACTTATGGGGCTGGTCGAGACGAGATCGCGTCTCCATGATGGGCCACGAGGAGCCCCGTACAACGCGCGTGTTCTCTGAAGCGTTAGGTGTTAGGTATAGAGGCAGCACCTACGGCTTGCAGGTATTACGTTACAATGCCATTATGTAACTCCCGTACCATTGTGGGGACCCCGTTGTGACGTATGGTTAACCACCGACCATAACCAACCAAATGTTCGCACGTTCTAACAGAGGAAGTATTTTGTATGGTATTTGGTCGATGCGCGAGTATCGAACGTGTATCGAAGCCGAGAAGCGGGAAATGATTTTTGGGGGGGTGATTGTTGGGGGGGGGTACGATTAGCGGGGTGAAAAGGAGAGGGGAATTGAAAGGTATTCGATTCGTTGTTTCTTCGTTTCGAAGCAATTTAATTTAGTAGGTTAGGTTAAGAAATAATTTTTGGGATATGATTAATGTGGAGTTTGTAATTCGTGGAAAATTAGAGTGGAAATTTAAGTTAAAAATGACTTCAAGGGGATGACTGATTCGTGGAAAATTAGAATTGAAAGGTATCATTGTTTCGTTTCGAAATATAATTTAGGTTAGGTTAAGAAGTTAGAAATAATTTTTGGAATATGATTAATGTGGAGTTTGTAATTCGTGGAAAATTAAAATTGAGATTTAAGTTAAAAATAACTTTTGGGAATGTTTCTTGAAGTTTGTGATTCGTGGAAAATTAGAATTAAAAGGTATCATTGTTTCTTCGTTTCGAAGTAATTTAGGTTAGGTTATATATAATTTTTGAGATATAATTAATGTGAAATTTATGAAAAATTAGAGTTGAAATTTAAATTAAAGATGATAATCCTTAAAATTTGTGATTCATGAAAAATTAGAATTAAAAAATATCATTGTTTCTTCGTTTCGAAATATAATTTAGGTTATGTTAAGAAATTAGAAATAATTTTTGGGATATGATTAATGTGGAGTTTCGTGGAAAATTAGAATTGAAATTTAAGTTAAAAATGACTTTTGATGTCCTTTAAAGTTTGTGATTCGTGAAAAATTAGAATTAAAAAGTATCATTGTTTCTTCGTTTCGAAATATAATTTAGGTTATGTTAAGAAATTAGAAATAATTTTTGGGATATGATTAATGTGGAGTTTCGTGGAAAATTACAATTGAAATTTAAGTTAAAAATGACTTTTTATATCCTTTAAAATTTGTGATTTGTGAAAAATTAGAATTGAAAAGTATCATTGTTTCTTCGTTTCGAAATGTAAATTAAGTTAGGTTAAGAGGAATATGATTAGTAGTGTAAAGTTTAAAATTCATTCAAAATAAAAATTGAAAGCTATCATTGTTTCTTCGTTTTCAAATGTAATTTACATTAAGTTAAAAAGTTAAAAATAATTTTTAAGAATATTATTTTTTATTTCAAAGTACAATTTACATTTAACAAATTAGAAATAACTTTTACGAACGATTTTTACAATAATATCAATTTGTTTCGAAATCCAATTTGATTTAAAAACAAATTTAATAATAAATCCTGTAATTTTATTCAAAGAATTACTCTTGACTTCAGTATCGACCTTCTTTCTATACTCCTTCTTTCGAAACTGAAAACTTTTGTTTATGGCCCCGATTCAATATCTTTCCCACCAATTTGTCCATCCGTCAAGACAATCACCAAATTATCGTACCTAATTCTTCCTTTATCTCACCTTTATTTCATCGAGGTTAGAAATTTCGAGTGTGTAAATGTGCATAAACTCGATCGTGAAACGCTCGATTAATCTTCCTCGTTCGGTCCCTTCCTTTTCTTCCGTCGTAATAAATCCACGGATAAAATATTACCCGCGTTTCGACTGGTTCGTTCGTTCGTACGTGTGTCGCGACTTCCACACCCACAACTCACATGCTGGACAGAGGTAGAGTTATGCCAGCATATGTGACAATAACGAGCCACGGTTGCATACGAGGCGGGATCGTAAAACGGAGGATTAAACTCCTTTCGGCTATTAGTCTAATATATGCGTTCCAATATCAAAAAAAAAAAAAAAAAAAAAAAAGAAGGTCTGCGAATCGTGAATCGTGGCGATTCAAAGATCTTTTTCTTCGAATGAATCTTAATGATGGATCTCGAATTTCATCTTGAAAATTACTTATGATCAATGTGCTTCATAGATGTACTTGAATTACATAAAAAGTGGATCAGTTATTCAAATAACTTCCAAAATGTAGATTTGAATAAATTTTCGAAATGGATATTTATGGAAACCGATATCTTCTTCGAGGATAAAATTCTTCTTTTTAAGAAGAGGGTTTAAAAGAATAGATCTCGAACTTTTGCCAGTTGTCCGTTAAACGTGTGAAAAAAAAAAAAAAAAGATCGGGTAACGGGGTAACGAAATCGACGATCCCCTGTTAAACATTTCCGCGAACGGCATTGTGCCACCCTATCCCATACAGAATTCAAACTACTCGGATGCGCTCTTGTCACGAATGCCGGGCCACACTTGATGGATGCGCCCGTTTCGATCAATCTGTTACAATGCAGTTTGCCATGGCTGCTATTCGGATAATCTTTCCTTTCCATTTTCAAACAACGAATTCTATTCCTACGTTCCTCGCCAAAAAAAAAAAAAATCATCATTTATCATTATCAAATTTCCATTTTCTACGTGCTTTATAATATATAAAAATAAAAATGTTTAAATTTAATTACAAATATCGAAACCTCGCATCTCTTCCAATTTTATTATTCTATATATTGAAAAGGATATAAAATTAAACGTAATTTTAACTTTAATCAAATGGAATAATAATACAGTTCTGTTGGAATAATTTTTAATTATCAATCTGCCAATCGTTTGTAAAAATTAATTTGAATGAAATCAAACGATTTTTCCTTCTCTAACTCCCCTCTCTCTCTCTCTCTCTCTCTCTCCCCTCGTGCAAAGTTTATTTACGCGGCACGCCCCGCTCGTTCAGGAATCATTTAGGTTGTATCGTTTTGTAGCCACGAGATCGGGCTGTGAATCCGGACACGAGTCGCGGTAACAAGAGCGTGGACACAATGATAGAGGACGGTTCGAGAAAAGGCTGGCTGGACGCCACGGTTGCCCGTTTAAACGTCCCCATTGGAGGCCCTCCAACCCCCCTATCGTTCGAGGGGATGTCACAGGGTTGGGCCAGCCACGTATATTACACCGATGCTACACATTGTGCACAATGACACCTCCGTGTTCACGCGGCTATATATATATATATATATATGTATATATATATATCGAAAGGAAGGGGGCCGTGCAGAGTTTTCGAGGGTTCTCGAGGCCTGCATTGCACCTCTACCGTGTCTACACTGCGCTTATGTCGGCAACGGTGTAACGATTCCCCGCAGGGCGCCCTATTCGCTTGACCAGCTGTCCACTGGAACGCTCGTCGCGCCTCCAGTGGGCAAACTTTGAATCAGAGCGACTTGGACGCATACGCAGTGATGGGAAAAATTTAATAGTTGAAGTTTACGAATAAAGTTGCTTCAATAATTTATCGTTCAAATAATAATAATAATAATAATAATAATTGCAAATAGTTATAATGTCAAATGGAGATTATATGAGAAACGGATCGACCGTAATAATCGTGAATAATAACAAATATTATTTAAGCATTTTAATTACTTGATGTAACTTTATTCGAAATTTTTAACTAAGTTACTACACTTTTCAACGTGTTAAGCGGCTGAGAAAGATAGATGGATTTTAAGAGGATGAAAGTGAAATAAAAAAGTATTCGATTAAAATAAATTTTCATAACACGAATAATGTAAAGTAACACGTTTGAAACGTTCTCACGTCGATCTTTTAAAAAAAGATATAGAATATATCTACCGTATTTCGAATAATTTATCGTGCAATATTAATGAAAATGAAATTGCAGACAGAGGTGGAAGACATGACGAGCGACAGCGTGTGCGATGGAACCGGGGCGAATCTCGCCACGCCGGAGACTACCGGTGGCCTGATAGGACCGGAAATGCCGGCGAACGTGATGGAGTGTGGCGGATGCGGAGAGCGCGTCCGCGAGCGCACTGTCCTCTGCGTCGGCGGTCGAACTTGGCACTCTAGGTGCTTAAGGTGCTTCGCGTGTGCCAGGCCATTACACGATCAACACTCGTGCTTCTTGAAGGGCATGAGGCTCTATTGCAGGCACGACTATGCTCTGTAAGTTTAACGAGTTTTTCATCGTTAAAAGGATTTTCCGTTTTATAAAGAAATCGTTGCGTGAATCTATTATGCAATTATCGAATTAATTGTATAGTTGTTTCGAGTAAAGATGTTGTAGTATTTTACGAAGTGGTTCGAAGAATATTCAAGTTCGAGAAATTCGTAGATAATACGATAAAGATATCAAAGAATTTTATCGAAGGTTAATATGTTCACTAGTATAAAGGCATAAATCCAGGTGTAATTGCCATCGTGTCGTCAAAGATCTGGATTTTCTTGTAACGACAATTCACTGATGGAAAGAGATTCAATTATCGCGATAACGCACAAAGTAAACGTTCCTGTTATGCGTAATATTCAAATGCGCGCGGTTGATCTAACTAGTGGAATAATAAAGCACGGTGAGAGATCGGTGCGAGCGTCGTGTTTGCGTTATCAATGCAATAAATAACAATTCATTGCGTACGAAACCTCTCAATCGAACCGCGAAAACGAAACTAGAAATTTTCCCTCGACACGACACGACACGATTCTTAAATGACTCGTCTACGGATCGATAAGCGTGTAAATCAATGTTAACGTTTCTATAACTAAATTAGCGATGCGAGATATTTTGTTGTATGGCGGATTAACTGGTTGAACTACTTTTCGAATGTTTCTGATTTTTCGTTGCATCGTGTTCTAAAATTTTTGCTTTCAAAATATCTTCGATATGTTCGTTAATTTGTCAGATAAATTTTTAAAATGCGATGCGAAATTTTATTCTAATAAATTGATATTTAATGTATTTATAGAAATCTCGATGTTTAACGATGTTTAACGAAATACTTTCGAAAAGCCGACTTGACCCGAGTTGAACCGAACGATTCCCGAATAATTCCGATGTAACCCGAACAATTCTCGACTCGACCCGAGTATCTAGTAATCAAAATTTTCGAATTCTCATACACTTCTATATCTTGTGTTCAAAGTTAGGTTAGATCCGATAAAGAATATTAAAAATACGAAGATCTCTCACTCAAACCAAACAAAATTTCATCTTACTGAAAAATATCATCGATTGAATTAAAAAATGGAAAATATAACAATAGTTACATCTCTTATATCGTTCGATACAAAATGGAAAGAAATCACGATGCGTACAGTAGTAAGCACTTATAGATAATATCTCTAAAGTTGAATTTATCCCCCTTCGTATTTCCTTTCTTCTTTGGATTACATTGATTTCCGCATTCGATAATGTAGACAGCGATACCGGTCGCGCGTCACGATCGGATATCGCGATATATACGTGATTTAGACAGGCCGGTGCAACAGCCAGGTGACCGAACCAACCATTGATTGACAGTTGGATAAACACGTTGGAAAGTGTTCGACTCGGATCCTTCGCGTACAATCGGCCAAGTCACTTCGAGCTTCTTTCATTTCGATCGATCGTGATTCTTTCTCTCTCTCTTTCTCCCTCTCTTGCGATCCTCCTCCCTACGAAAATATTCGAAACAAACCGCCTTCGATCGGCCATTATCGAATTCCGCTACAATATGATACGTGTGTCGAACGTTGTGTAAGTAAATAGAAAATCTAATTGAATTTTTGTCGTTGAATCGAATCGACTTGATATGACTTATTCACGAGACTGGATTATCATTAGAGTTAATTTAAATTTTTAAATTTTATTTGAAATTGAATCCGTATTAAAGAAACAAAATACAACAAACGTTAGATAATAGATACGATTCTATAGATAGAGATGGACAAAATTTTTACGATTCAAGTTAAGAATAAAATTGCTCCGATAATTTATTGTTCAAAACACAGATAACTATAATCAAAGTCAAAGTTACATGAATCAAGTTAATTTTCAATAAAGTCATTCTAAATTAATTTTTTATTTAAAATTTTAATTACTTTTTTAATTACTTTTTCAGAATTAGCGTCCAACTTCAAAACTCACTCTCTAATCTTTTCTTGCAAAATCAAATTTAAACAACTTGTCAAGTTACTCCAGAAAATCATTTCGTCGGGGAAATATTATCTGAAATATCATCCTCGCTTATATCACTTATCAGAGTCAAAGGAAGAGTTTAAGGGTCGGCATTCCTCGCAAAGACGGTATCGGTGGATATTTTCGTGGCGTGTCCGTCTTTTCGAGGGTCAAAGTGGCGTGTATGCGGGAGGTCCCGAGGAATCTGCCGCGTAATTTTTTTCGACCGACGTTTTTCGCCTCGTAATGCCGGCTTACGATGACCCGGTCGACAGGATCCACGACCCCGTAGACACGTCGACAACCGACTCGGGGAGGAGAGGCGAAGCCGCGCTGCCTATTTCGATTTACGCTCGGCTCGTCGTGATAAATGATCGGAAACTATATACGTGGATATATGCCACGAACAAGCTCTGGACCGGAGAATCGAGGACACCGAATCTTTTATACGATTCGTGATCGAGGAGAGTTGATACAATGCGACCTAATTAAATACGCCATTTGGATGGTGCGCGTTTCGATTCGATATACTCGAACCGTTCTAATTCTGTTGAAAGTTCGCGCGCGAGTAGTGATTTTTGCGAAAAGTGAAATTAATCTCCTTTCTCTTATAAATAAAGTTAAACATAAATGTGATAATTCTTCACAATTTAATTTAAAATAACATACGACGGATTAATGGAGTTGCAATTGGAAAACAATGAGTATCATGTGATTTTATAACGAGTTTCTCTCAAGGATTAATTTTTATCTCGCTTTCGTGTCAGCTTTTTTAAGACAGGATCTACATATGTCGGCGATAAAAGAAACTCGGAAGGAGGGATAGAGACAATCGGTCGCTCAAAATTCAAATCCGTTCCTAGAGATTGACGTGGGCGAGACGAGAAAGTTGCTCTTGCGACCACGATGAATTAGTGATTTGCCGAGAGACAATAGGATTAAAGTGCAAGTCTTTTTTCTTTTTCTTTTTTTTTTTTTTTTTTCTATATATCTCTGCGCGAGATTTACAGATTGCGCATTACAAATATACATTCCTATCGTTTTCATTAATTATCGATTCTGAAAAGCTAAAGGAGAATGCCTTAATTCATCTAATTGTTCGATATTTTGTTCGATCATTCTATCTTTTTCTCTTTTCGAAAATCTGAAGATCTCTCGTGATTAATTACATACATTTCTCAATCGTTCAAAAGAATGCGAAGAATGGAAATTCTAACACTCTCTTGGCAACGTCGCAAAATTTTCGATCGATCGTACAATCGATATTCGTTTTCGAAAAAAGGAAAAAAAAAAAACAATCGTGAAATCCAAAGTCAACGAAGTCAACGAAATCGTAGATAGCGAAAAAATATTATAACTCTGTACAATAAACCACTACTACAATCGAATATACATAATTATATAATTATATAATATATAATATATATAAATAATTATATAATATAATAACGAAGCAAGCAAAGCGCAACGTCTCGCACGATCAACTCCATTAAGCAGCTCTTTATAGCCGTGCGAATATCCGCTCCCTCTCGCGTACGAATCCTCCTCTTAATTCGTTCGCTTCTCGGTTGTCGAAACACAGAGAGCAATAGTGGTGGCATCTAGCAGCTCGTCCGGGTATATAAGCCGTACATACTTACTCACTTTCTCTGGTTTGGTGGTGGGGCCACCGGGATAGTCGCGTGGCCCCATAAGATACGTTGGCGGGAGGGAGGGAGGGCATAACCCCTTACACGGGCCGTATAAACGGCCAAGTCTCGGTTCGTAGCCGGGGAGGAACCGGACGAGGAATCGGGATGCACTTTCCGTGTTCATGAATATGATAATGGGCTAATGGCCGGCTAGTCGTTGTTTAATTACCAGCCGCGGCGCACACCGACCGACCACACCACGCCACGTCGGCCGTGAAGAAGCCACCGTGTGGTCGTTGGTGTCTCGTCGTTAGGCCGAAGACTTCACGAGGCTGTGTTACTGGCAACGGTGCACCCGTAACACCCACCTCTCCGACCCATTCATCGTTGCCCAGCGTGCGTGTGTCGTGTAGCATGCTCGTGTCTTGCCGCTACACGGCTACCGTTTACACCGAGCTAGACTCAGAGAGAGAGAGAGAGAGAGAGAGAGAGAGAGAGAGAGAGAGAGAGAGAGAGAGAGACTTTTTCGCAAGAACCTTTTCTCGATGCGGTTAGATCGTGGGGACAACAGCAACCACGTAGACCAGAGAGATTTCACGAGAGAGTTTCAGAGAGTTTCAGAGATGTAAGTTACCTTGGTCGTTCGGTGTAAGAACGAAGAAAGAAACGAGTAAGAAGCGGGGGTGTGAGGATTTGGTTGGTGTATCGTTTCGGGGGAACGTTCGTGTTTAGCATCGTTGCAAAGAAAGTTTAGTTTAAGTGGCGCGGTGAGGAAGATCGGAGGGTATACTTATAATGGAGAAATACGTTTATTTTTAGTTTGGATAGAAGAGATTCTCGTAATTTTCACGTCTTTCATCTATTTGTTTTTCTCATTCTTTTTCATCTTACCACTCGCACAAATTCCATTTCGTGTTCTGTTTATAATTGTTTATACATTTTTTTTTTTCTATTTTCCATTCCACTTCTTTCTCATTTTCATTTTTCCTCTTCCTAACCATCCACATTCCCTTCACTTCCTCCTTATCTCGCGACTCTCGTTTCTCCCTTTTTCACCTTCTCTCGTTTATTATTCCTTTTTCTTTCTTCCTCTCCTCTCCCCCTCCCCCTCCTCCCCCCTTCTGTGGTGTTCATGCGCGGCAGCGCGAGTTTACATACACGCAAACATACTCTTGGAGGTTAGAGCTCGCGCTTCGGGATCCAGGAGTCATTTATTTGTCACAGGACGACCGGTACAGGCTGGCTTGTTCCAGGTAAACGCGCGTTCGTGCGCGACGCGTTATCTAAGACCGTTCTCTTTCTCTCTGCTCCCCAAGTACGAATTATATTCTCTGTTCTGAGCATTCGTGTCGGCCATTGCAACGCGCAGGAGCATTGATAATCGAGTTTCGACCGTGTGAAATCGTGCGCACATTTTTGGCGCACCATCCGATCTTCTTTACCCATGTACGATAATCTCGAGTTTTATTGGTTGTTTTGCCAGGAACAGTGGAATACTGTGGCTAATTGTAACGCGCGATTAAATTCAAATTATTTCCTTGACGTTGTAATTATAATTTATAATTAGAGTTATAATTTATATTCGGTGTATACATATAACTGTGTAAAAGGTCGAGGACAAAGTTTAGGACCATATAATATTCGAAACAAGGAAGAACATATCAAATATCGATAAATGTGAATTGAGTTATGTTTTTTTTAATAAGATGTTGCTTTTGAATGTGTTCAATATATATTTTTTTCATATTAAAGCTCGATTTAAATTCGATAAATTTTTATATAGTAGTATAGTGCATGACAAATCAATCGTTTTAATAATTGTTCTACTGACAAAAACATCTCATAAACAACTTTGGAATTAATGATTTTAATATATTTATTAAAATTTTTTTACTTGTTTAATGAATATTAGAAATGCTTTTGAAGTTTGTCCTTAATCTTTCTAATAATATAATATATCTACGTATGAAATATATACATGAAACATTTGTTACTTTTATCTTTAAATCTTTGCATTTCTTTACTTATTTCTATGCAGATTTAATTTTAAAGATCTGCACTTCAACAATAAGAAATAACAAACAAATCCTAGTCAAATGTTCGAATCATCTACCCTCATGGTTACTAATAATTCGTCGAGTCGAGTGTGCAGGAAATTCATAAAGAGGATTTGCGTTTTTCCTTTCGTGCAATTCCTATCGACAGTTGAATGTTGGTGCACGCGAACACCCGAGGGAGTTGACGCGAAACGTTTTCTTTAACGTGCGTTCGTTAGAGTCAGAAGAAGCTAAATCCTCGACGGTTCACCTTCCATCGTTGAATTTATTGGCGCCATTGCTGCAGGTGGCCGCGTGCTGCGTGCCTGCAAATTCTTTACGACGCTTCGGATTTCCCGATATGGCAATGCGTAGTTAGTCACGTTAGATTAGAAAAACTATGAATTCTCGACTCGTTTTATTCAAGCCACAATTGATAAAATTATTAATAGAAAAAGAACAAGAATCATTCTCTTAAAAAACAGCAGCTCTGAAAATATGAAGGATGAATCCTTGACGATATATATTCGAAATTACTTTGTATTTTTGATATATTTAATCTTTATATTTGTAATTTAAAAAGCAATTCGAAAATTCTTATTTTTCAGAACATTCGGTGCTAAATGCGCGAAATGTGGTCGAAGCGTGGGTGCGGGGGATTGGGTGAGGAGGGCCAGGGAAAGGGTGTATCATTTGGCGTGTTTCGCCTGCGACGCCTGTTCCCGTCAACTCTCCACAGGCGAGCAATTCGCCCTCCTGGACGCCAGATTGCTTTGTAAGGCTCACTACCTGGACGTCGTCGAAGGCAACAACACTTCTTCCGATGGTGAGACTGTGCAGATACCTTACACATTCCTTGTTAAAGTAAATAACGAAAATTATGATATCAATCAAATATATAACTATTATTACCTACTCGTACGATTCCAATAGTGAAGAAATTATTAATTTATTTTCGTCTCTCTTATTTTTTCACATTTACATTTCCCTTAATCTTTATTTTACGATCCAAGATACTGATCTAAATCCGTGTAAAATAAAGAGGGGAAAACAAGGATAGACCTCTGGAGAGATGGATCTCTGGAGAGGCGTATAAATGGTGGAGCACCTCTAATTGGTACTTTCGCAGAAGGCGGTGACTCCGAGAGCGGGCACAAGAGCGGTAACAAGGCGAAGAGAGTGAGAACCACGTTCACGGAAGAACAACTGTCCGTTCTTCAAGCGAATTTCCAATTGGACAGCAACCCGGACGGCCAAGATCTCGAGAGGATAGCCCATGTGACGGGACTCAGCAAAAGAGTTACTCAGGTTTGGTTCCAGAATTCTAGGGCGAGGCAGAAGAAGCATCTGCACACGGGAAAAATGAAAGGGCAACACGGTACTTCTTGCGTTTGTTTCTTTCATCGATATTTGTCTAAGTGGAAGAAGATTCTTGTTAATATCCTTTTTTTTTTTTTTATGATTTTATTCCGAATTCATTTTATCTTTTCATTGTTTTATCCAAATGATATTCCGAAGTATAATTATTTATAAAATATGTTTCTCTCCTTTCATATAATGATATATTTATTTTATATATATATTTTTTACATAATTTTTTTTAAATAATTATTATATATCTAATTATATTCTATTGTTTGAATACGATTATTTTTATTTTAAAAATGAAATATATTATAGTGAATATATTACTTCAAACGTTTTATAAATATATATATATAGTAGAAGATACGATTTTAAAAATTTCTTAGACGAGCATAGCTCGAAATCAAAGAAATATTATTTATTGTTGCAGTTCATCAATCACCACCAAATTCTAACGCGTCCACTGGCGATTTCGGTCGACACATCAATTTACATCTGACCTATTCGTTTCAACATCAACAGCAACACCATCATGGCCAGCAACCTCCGCAATTAAGTCCGGCTACGTGCAAAAGTCCCACACCCTCGATTTATCATAATCATGGTGAGAATATTACTCATTTTCTTGCATGTATGGAAAATCTTTTTTGAAAAATTCTTCTCTTTTTTGATTTATAATAAAATTATAATCAAAATTTTTTGAAAAAAATCATTGGATTAAAATTAAAATAGTCGGTCTACTTTATAATCAAATACGAAGCGGGTTACGAGAGGACGAAATAAAATTTTTATTTTAAAAAGGTCTGTTCTCTATCGAAAGACCACCGTCAATTTTGTCCTCAGGCTCGGAACAATCGATGGATGAACTCTCGCAAGACTCGATGATGTTGTCGATGCCGAACGAGGTTTAATCGCCGTTGGACCACTCCTCGTTGTAAATATTCCTTTATTTTAGTTAAGAAGATTTTTCCATTTTCGTCGAAACCTTTCTCGATGAACATTTCATTTCGTATCTGTTTCTTCGATCGAAGATGGACAGAATTCGTCGCGATTAAAAAAAGAGAGAAATTTTGAAATTCTCGAAATTCAAATAATTATTGATTTCATTGATACATTTGATTTTTCATTCATTCATAAAATTTTGAAATTTTTGAGAATTTTGAGATCCTATGAAGTTTCGAATTCCTATTTGGATCTAAGAATCAGATTTCGATTTATCTGTCAAGATTTAGATAGAATTTTATTATAAAAAGAAAGCAAGGAATAAAAGAGTTTTCCTTGATTTATTACTTTTCTTTTTTCAATTTTTATCCGGTGAATGTCGAAAAAGGAAAAGAAAGGTATGGAATTCTGATTGTTTTCCAAAATATTTTTTACCTTCGCGTTTTTAAAACACGTTTATCGATTATTTTATTTCTTTAGTACTTTTGAAATAACATATGAAAATCACAGAAGAAAAATTTAAACAAGTTCAAAGAAATCTATTTTCTTTTTTTTACATCATGTTTTTAACTGAAAGAAATTAGTTTAATATTTCGATATTATAAGAGATAAAAATTTAATGATGTTACAAATTAAAAATTTTAAAGCCGATTATTTTTCGATCATCTTTGATTAATTCAATCACGATCGAACGTAACAATTCGTTCTAACTTCAGACATTCTCGGTTATTTTCGAGAATCAAAATCCAATAGCCGATCCTCTTCTGCTAATCTTCGGCAAATTACCGATATTAATCGAAAATAACCGAAACATGATTAGTTCTATTATAAATTAAATAAAACTATGAAAATATTTTAATAAAAGATATTCTATTGTAAATATTGATAAAAAATGACTTACCAAGTTCTTCGTCTGTGATCTTCATATTTATTCAATTAATTAATTAATCCTTTGAAGCGTATTCTTGAAACAAAATATATTTATACAAAATATATTTATTTTGATTTGTAAATTAAAGAATACTCCATGTTTCGATCAAAGGAAGGAATATTAATTAAATAGATAACATTTAAAAAAAAAAATGTTTAAATTTGTAACATTGTTTCAAAGGATTAAATATTTCGATAAATACTTCATCTCAAATAAAATGTCGTTGATCCGAATATTTCGTATAATTTAGAACGAAATCCGCCCAAATCGTTGTTAACTTATTAAGATAACCAGCAAAATGTAGAGAAGCCAATTTTTAAGACTGGATGGCAGCACAGCTCTCTCGCACTGGATGTTAAGCTTATTATAAATAAGTGAATACAATTAAACATTCCATATAATGCATAAAACAAGTCTCCGTGCACCAATATGGAAATGAATCGCGAATATTTCCGTAGCGATTGATAGGTGATGATCAACTCGTTATCAACTTTCTAGTTCCGAATCAAGTTTTAACCCTTTCCATTTCCATGCTTTCTTTTCGAATTAATTAATTTTTAATTTTATTAAACTCATTTAATTTTTTTGAACATCGAAATTCAAAGAATATGATGATTGAATCAGAAATAACCTATAATAGTAGATTCAATGGGAAGGGTTAATCATGAGTATTAAAAAGTTCGATTTAAATCCATCGATACACGAACTTCGATTATACGAATAAGGAATGTCCTTTATGGTTCTAAAGAAGTGATAAATGTAATTTTCCTTCTTTTCGAGAGAATGATACATACGATAGTTGTCCTCACTTTGATTGATCCACGGAATTTCCTGATATAATCAGGTTATCGTTTTAATAAAACGTGTAAGATCGAATATATGATTAACGTATACGATAAAACTCGAGAGATGTTCGGTGTCCCCGAAAATTGCCGAAGTCTCGTTTCGTGTTGACTCGGGTATATTCGGTATATCTCGGGGAACATCAGAAAGCAATGTTCCGAATGAAAGTATCTTTTACAGTGTTTAGATAATTAATTGTGTAATCGTAAAAAGAATCATTATTTAATATACTTAATGTACTGTGATGTAAATATTGTAAACTAAGTATATATACAATATAAAATGTTGCACATATTTATTTACTTCCATGTTGATTTTCCCAGCCCAAAGAAAAAATATTAATATCATTATATTATAAAGAACTTTTTTATCCTTTAAATATAGTGACGTTTATATATTATATAAATGTAGATATTTTTTCATTATTATGTAAATTTTCTATGATTTTACAAATTTCAATTTTCATAATTCGATATAACATCACAGCATGTATAAGGAAAGTATATGTTTTTTTATAGGTTATAACACGCTTTGAATACATTTAGCTATATTTTAGAAAAATTCATAGTAGTTCAAAAGCACTAATAATCTTTTCGTAGATTTATGAAAAGTTTTTAAGGAGTATAGAAAAATATAGGATCGAAAATAATAAATAATGATATTAACAGTAAAAGACATTTTTATTATTAACAGTACGGTTTACAATATTGCGCTATGAGTGTACAATACAGCGATATCAAATACTCATGCACGATTCTTTTTGAAATTTATATACAAAAGCTACGGGATATGTCTATGTACAATTTTATCTTAAAAATAAAATACTTTATAAGAGACGTGTGCGTAAGAATTTAATAAATGCTAATGAGCGTAACAATTTTTATCGCTAAAAATGAGACTTATCGTTATTTAATCATACATTCAATGTGTTGCTATGATTTTAAAAATTAAAAATAAATAAAGAATAAAAATTATTAACGGAATTATAAAAAAGTTGAAAGTATGGAAATGTTAATTTGAATAATTATTTGACTTTGAGAAATAAAATCTAAAAAATAATTTCTAATTACAAAATACAAGATTTCTATGAACACATTTAAAATTGTAATTCTAATTTTCGTTTGATTGCACTTTTGATGAATAAAACACCTGTTAAAATGAAAAGAAATCATAATGAGAAATCAGTCGTGGGAGTTAATTGAAATGGAATAAATAATTAATTCATTTCATTTATTCGTACTCTAGAATCCTCATAGAATCCTATCCTATCTGTAGTATCACTTTTACTTTTTTTACTTGTTTTAAACAATTCATTTTTGGTATGTACAAAAAATAGAGAACAATGAAGAATTCAAAGAGGATTAATATTTTAATTTTTCATAAAATTCCATCATAAATTCATTATAGATTTTATCTTCTTTTTTTATCAAATATCCATCATATTTAAATTTAAAAAATCATCTACTAAAGTACTAAAGTAATTATAAAAATATCAAAAATTTCCACTAATTATAAATCAAATTATCCTCTTTGAAATCCAGGAATTTTATTATTTTTTGTTTGTTCTCTGAATTTTACGAGATCAATGTTTTAAAAGATTTTAATCGGAAACTTTTCATTTTAAAAAAATCAGAAATGTCTTTAAAACTTGGAAAATTTGAATTTAATCATCGGTTTCAATTCTTGGACGAAGTTTTACCCTGTTTGATGACAGAACTGAGCTTGAAGGTGATTGGGCGTTGTTGGGGTTAGAGGTGTCAGAGGGGTGAGAGGTGTCAATGGACTGCCAGGACTTTCACTTCCTGCGCTACCACCCTGATATCCTCCTAAATAGGCGCCTACCATGTTCACGCTGGTTGGGTATAATTCTACTGGGTGATGTTGCATCGGTGGTGAATGGTGCACTAAATTTTTGAATGCAAGTATTAAAAATGAGATTTCTAATGATTTAATTTATTAAACATTTCATTGTTTTTTTTTTTAAGAAAGTATCTTTTATATTCTCTATTTCAATACTGCTATTGATATTTTGATTATTTTAATTATTTTACTTTATCCCCATATTGCTCTAACCTATATTAAATATTTTATGAAAAATATTACAATCCTATTACATTTTATATTACTTGTCATGAAAAAAATGACAATTTTTGCAAGCAATAAAATTACAGTTTAATTTAATTTCAAATTCATTCTAAATATATTTATTATTTTTGCGACACAACAACAAGATAAATTCGAAGTATAACGAAAAGATCTACTCACTTTGGGTCTTGATCTTCCCACTGTGTTTCTTCTGCCTGGCTCTCGAGTTCTGAAACCATACTTGCGTCACTCGTTTGCTCAACCCCGTGACATGCGCTATTCTCTCGAGATCTTGGCCATCAGGATTACTGTCTAACTGAAAGTTCGCTTGCAAAACCGATAGCTGCTCCTCCGTAAAAGTCGTCCTGACCCTCTTCGTCTTGCTACCTTTACCACCGTGTTCAGAGTCGCAATCCTCCGAGGACGAGGTATTGTTTCCCTCCACCACATCGAGGTAGTGAGCTTTGCAGAGCAATCTGGCGTCCAGGAGGGCGAATTGCTCTCCGGTGGAGAGTTGGCGAGAACATGCGTCGCAAGCGAAACAAGCCAAATGATACACCCTTTCCCTGGCCCTCCTCACCCAATCACCGGCGCCCACGCTTCGACCGCATTTCGCGCATTTAGCACCGAATGTTCTGAAAATTGAGAGAAAATTGATATTTAAAAAATATCAATAGAATTAAAAAATATCAATAGAACAAAAGATAATTAATAACAGAATTAAATTAAATTAGAAATATGAATTGCAATTGATGAATAATTGAGATAATTTTTAGATTTAATAAAATTAATTGATAAGGATTATTCAAAATTTTAATACCGAAGAATTTCTGTAACATCGAGAAGGAAATTTATATTTGCAAAATGAAGATCATGGAACTTACTTGTTTTCATCTATATCTATCACTATTCCACTATTTCGTAAGAAAATTACAATTAAATTGGTAGATGATTTGAGGAAAATTTATTAAATGCATTAAATTATCATTAAATTGCTATTTGAACGATAACTAGATTTTTTCAAGATTCGCAAAAAGCAAGAATCCAACGAGGAAAAGGAACGAGTTTCAAGGTGCTATTTTGGTCAAGATTGCAGGTTCATTCAGGACCTCCATGCACGAGAATCCGACGGTCCTGTCCTCATTAACATACTACTTCGCCACTCGCTTGTCCTTTGGAGGCGCGTCACAAGCGCGAGCCACGGTTTAAGGGTCGCTCGACCTCTCGCGATTTGGTCGGTAGATTACGTCGAGATTATCTCGACGTCTCAGTCCCAAGCCTCCTCTCGCCCTACAAATGACTCGAGATCCTTTGAATTTCAGCCGCCTCGACACCAGGAAACAGATCACACATTTACGACTGTTGCTTTCGAATGATAGATATGCACGAGCGATTTCTGGCTACCAATTACATGAAAATCGATATATCTTTTAATGAGATCTTATGCGAAGATAAAATTTACTAAAGATGATAAAGATTGATGTAAGTGATTAATATTTTGCAAAATATTCAATATTTTATCTCTTGGAAAAAACTAATTAATATTTATATACGTTTGTATAATTTATCTTTAATGTAAAATTTGCAAAAATGTCATTTGATACTAAAAGAGATTCTTTTATAAATAGTTTATTCCACGTTGATAAATTACTTTTTTTACTTTAATATAAATAATTTGTTTCTCACAACTAAGAATTTTGCTACGACAAGATGAAGAATACGAGATGTATAAGTGGTGAAGATGAAAACGAAGAATGGATCGAAGGATTGGTTATTGTATGGAAAAATATGGTAAGCTACGGAAGGATTAGTTGGTTCACAAATTGCACCGTCATCGTCGCATCCAAGATATTTTTGGGCATTATTGGTTATGGTGATCGTGCACAGGGCACTCCTAGAAGCGCATGCGCGTTCCTAACGAGACATCGAAACCTGACTTTGAATACCATTTCTCGCTCCTTGAAATTCTATTCACGAACGATATAACTACACTATAAATTCTTGTAGCATTTTTTTATTACTTTATAAAACTTGAAATTGTTCCAACAAATCGAAAATTTCCCATTCTAATTAAAATTTATCGTATCACAATATATTTTAAATAATAAACTTTAAAGGTTAGGTAGCATATCATCTTCACGATATCTTCACAAATTATTTTCTTAACCATATCAATTGAGTCATTTAAGATATTTTGTGATCCGAGACACCACTATTTTTCTTTCGAAACCAGCAAAGTGCAAAAGATGACGCAATTTTTCAATTCTATGTTCCTCATAGAACTCGTGAACGTTCAACGAAGTGTCATTAGCATAAATAGTGGCGCCACCCTTTTCTTTTCTGCCGCGTTTACGTCGGATCAAGAGAGGGCAAGAGAGAGGGGGCAAGGGAGAAGAGTGGAAGAGCACCGTGTAACCAGACCAGGAGAACTGGTATTGGGTATCTATAAATCTTCAGGGCCGTACATCGGCTACCAAACGACCCCGCCCTAATTTATTCATTTGTTCTTCCACATAGGCGGGCCCTATAAGTCAACAGGGGATTAAGTCGGCCGCTATCCGACCTCTGCACAGTAGAGAATTCATGATCCCTCCTTACACCTCCGTTCCTCGTTCGAATGCATTCGATTCTCGCACTACGTAGCCAGATCATGATCGCTATCTTCAATATCATTGAAGATATAAATGGATCACATGATAAATTATAAAATTCGCGATATTTTACAATTGAATTATCATTCTCTATAAAGATATGATATTCATGTGCATGATGACATTTACGATGAGATACATATTCTGAATGTACAAGAAAAGTAGAAATTTTTTTATTATCTGAGAATTGACATGTTTTGAAAAATAAATTTTTCAATTAAAAGAATATTATAAGAAAATTAAGAGAAGAATATTAGAAAATTTTTATAACTTTAAAAAATATTTAGAAACTTAAATTTTTTTAATTATTCAGGTAAAAGAATATATTTTAATAACAGTAAATTTAAAGGAATCATCGAATTAATTAATTCACCGTTTTTTGATAGTTATTTGACAGTTTACAATGAGAATTATATGGTAATAAAATTGAATAAATAGGTAAACGTAATATATTTAATTAGTTGTAACCGTTTACAAGTCAAGAATTTTTACGAGGAATTATATTGTTTTATGAAAGTTAGAAATGGTAAGTGACTTGACAATAGTAACAAAATAAATGAAATTATTTTTCGAAAGAACTAGTCAGAATGAGGAAAGTGAGGATCTCTTCAAAAGAATGTATTGAACTTTATGGAATAAATGTTCGATTATTAAATATTATTGTAAATTAATAAATATAACCTACATTTTTATATATCAACTCTTTACTTTAGCTTTTCTCCAAAAATACATTCTTAGAAAAATATTCTATGAATACATTACTTATAATTATAATATTATATTCGTAAAAAAAAATTTGTCAAAATATCTTTTTATTAATTCTAATATCGATTTATCGTATCTTCGTAATTTCAGATTCGTATACTCGAAATTATCGGCCCCCCTGGTATGTTTAGGAAATCGTCGAAATCACGACAGTAGGCAGAAAATGTAGATTACCTCCGGGTCGCGAAGCATCGTGCATCTCGAATTCGATACCTTTCTCAGGAGAGTGTAGGCATTCGCATTTAAGTGCCATTAAGGCAGAAACGATAAGGTCGTGATTAAAGCAGCGGCCGATTCGGTGTCGCGGAGCATCGGCCACACTGAATTAAGAGAACCGGAATTCCGACGCTCTGGCATCGCTAATAGAGCGATTTCTGTTTCATTCCGCTCGTTTGAAATTCGTGTCCTTTTCCTTTGTCATATTCTATTTTTTCTTTTTCTTTTTTCTTTTTTCTGATCCATGAAACAATATCCGCGAAAGAAATCATAGCAAAAGCAGAGAATAATGACGAATATTTATTAATTTAAAAGATTAATCTAAAAGACACTCGTTTACTGGTTGAAAAGCACTGACACACGAGGGTGGACTAAAGAAAGAGAATCACAGCTGGTTTTGAACTGCCTTACGAGGCGAATTCCTTAGTCCGATGGAACACTGGCGGTATTTGCTCGTGCAATGGCAGCCACGCACATATATATCAATGTTTTCGTGATCTTTGATAAAAAATATCGAGAATATTGATATCAAGATAAACGAATAAAATTTTTATTATAAAAGAAAACAAACAAAAATCAAACAAAAATCATGTATTTAAAAATTCAATATCGATGCCACATTAATTGTAATTTTTAATTGTAATTAAAGGTGTGAATTTAATATTATTTGCTATCCGATTATTAAAAGAAACGAAAGAAAAAAATCTAAATTTGCAAATTTATACAAGAACAAAACTATATAAACTATGTTCAATTTCGCAATAGTTAGGTTAGATTATTTGATTCGATTAGACTACAGAAACCTATAGATTTGAAAATATTCGCGAATATTCGAGAACTTCGATCAAAAATATATTTTTTTTACCTTCATGGGCTTGTAATGAGAAAATGTCAGTTGAGATGTCCTTTATTCGTTTCCAACCTCAACGTCACAAGGTGACTCGCAACTCACGCGCGAGTATGCGAGGTTACACGTATAAATCCGGAGATGTGAATAGCCGACTATACGCGTGAGGTCCAAAGAAGAAAAAAAAACAAGAATCAAAAAGAAGGATACACCGCAAGACATTAATCACCCACTAGCGAACATCTCGAATATGCGACTAAGAATATCTGTTCATATATCGGGAATATCTGCACCCACGTGACAACCACGTGACTCGAATAGAGTATCTTTCTTTTGGTAAAATTTTTAGCAAAACCGTAATCACGTTTTTCGATTTATTGACCTTTTTAAATTTGTTAGTTATTATTTTTAAAAGTAGATAGATTTATTTGATACGATGATTTATTTAACAAATTATAAAGAGGAAGTATGAAAAAAATCCTAGGTGTCTATAAGTCGAATTAGATTAGAGATAGATCGAAAGTCGAATACGATAGATCGAAACTTTGCGAAATCTTGAAACTCGAAACTCGAATCTTCCAAAAGTCAGAATTTTTTTTAAGAAATATTTATTTCATCAAAAATCAATTTATGAATAATTATAGCACTATAATTTTTGCATGCAAAAAATTTTTTCCCTTTCTATTTCCAGATTAAAACCGCCAGATGGCGATTCATATCATTTCGTGTTTTACCCTAGAACGAATTGGCAATCGTGATTATAAGAATTAACTGTAATACATTCCAGTCAAATGGATTCTATAACCTACTTTTTATTTTTAAATGATATTCTATATTATCGCATTTTAATTTCAATACGTATTGTAAACAGAATGAACAATTTGTTTCTTTGATGAAAAGGTAAACGACTAAGATCATTTTGGCGAGTCACGAAATCGTAATTCAGAACGATATCTTTTAAAATCTATCCCAAAGGACTTGTACGAATTCTTTGAATCTAGCTTGCTCGATAGGATGCCCGAGATATCTGTTATTCTAATGTCAGCATACTGTACAACTATTCCGTAAGTCGAACAAATGATCGTTTCTTCCAGGAGCTCCCGAATAATAGTCGAGAAATGTCCTCTTAAGCTTGGCTTTGCTCACCGATTACGTATCAGTAGGGTGTCTCTATCGATTTCGATCAGTTGTGAATATTATTGGATTCATCGATAATCCTTCGTGTTGCTTCTGGATCACGGGACGACTATCCTTCTTAGTCGATTATGGATTGCAATGATGGAACGCTTTAGTTTGATGAACGAGGTATAGTCAAATGTCTCTTGATAGTTTAAATCTCGAGAAAATGTAAAATATTTAAATAAGAAAGATTTAACAAATAAAAAATACAATGATTCTAAACAAAATTAATATTTTTTCAATTTAAGGTTAGGTTCAGCTATACGAATGAAAGAAAGTAAATATTGCAATGGAAAATTGATTTAAGAATATATATTTTATGATGCACAAAACTTGTTTATTTAAACAAATGAAAGGAAAAAAAGTGTTACTTAAATTCACAGATTTATATTTAAAAAAAAGAGAAACAAACTATACGACTATTTGATAAACAGACTTTTCAATGATTGTACTTATGATTAGAATCAATTAAACTAAATACATGGATTACAAATTTGAACTAATTTAGCCGAATTTAGATGAATTAAAAAAAAATGAACATCTCTAATTATTTTGCATATGTGGATTTGAATATTAAAAAATAAAATATCTCAAATGAATACAAATAAATTTAACTTTATTATATAAATTTATATTACCATGTGTAAAAAGTATATATATATATATATATATATTGATTCCTTTTTCAAATTTTATTTTAAATTAAAACTTATATTTAATTATATCATTTTTACTAATATTAAATAGTTTATTTATCACATTTTAATGATTCTTAAATAATAGGTATTTAAATCAACATAAAAAATTGAAATTCAATTATAATATTTATAATTTGAATTCTTATAAAAGTAAACAAAAATAAAAAATTATAGAGGATTAATCAATTTCATATAAAAAGGCTATATAAATCACGAAACTCTAGAAACACAAGTTTTCTCGTAATCTAAGAAATAACTAAGATTAAAGGTAAGCCTGAGAAATAAATAGAAACCAGTCTTACAAACCGTACTTACAAGGCGTAGTCGTGTCTGCAATAAAGCCGCATCCCTCGAAGGAAACAGGAGTGCTGATCGTGCAGTGGCCTAGCACAGGCGCAACATTTCAGACATCTGGAATGCCAGGTACGACCCCCTACACAGAGGACAGTGCGCTCGCGTACGCTTTCCCCGCAACCACCACAGTCCATTTCCATTCCATCGTGGCTGTCGTTAGTCGTAATATTGGTACCAGATTTTTTAATATTTGCCACATTATTATTGTTTGTGTTGACGTTGTTGTTGTTTGAACAAAGGATGCCATCCGTGCATTCTGTCTCTGTTTCAATCTCAGTCTGGAATAGATTATTGTTATTTATAATATTTTATTATTAGGAAATCTATATTAAGATCCTCACTTTTTTTTAAATTTTGCATTATATATGAAATATTCTATTATGAAAAATTTAAATTATTAAAGTTAAGAAAAATAAATAAATATAGATTTAAGTGATTGAAGATTTAATTATTAGAAATTTTTGAGATTTGAAAATTTAGGAATAGCAGTTTTAAATTATGAATTTTTTAAATTTATCATGCTGTAATTAAAATTTGAGATTTTCATCTCTTTGCCATTTATTTATAAAGAATTTAAATTTAAACACAATCAATAAGTACATAAAATCTATATTCTCAACAAATTTATGAAAAATTCGTAAAAGTTCATTATTGTTTAAAATTAAAAATTAAAAAGAAAGAGAAGTAAAATATACATAGATAGTATCAACAAGAAACTTCGAAAATACAAGAAATAATTCTCCTAGACAACTTAATTAACAAAGCAACTAACCCAGAGGAACCAGTTTTGCCTACAATACTATTCTCTGCTAATTTTTCATCTTCTCACATGGTTTACAACCTACGTGTATACACTCCACTATCTTCCACCCTCTTAAGTTCTGAAAACATCTTGTACAAACCAACACAAATACAATTCCTTCAATAAACCTCTCAAACAGCTGCTACAAGTCACTGCACAGTGTCATCGTGCAATTTACCACTACGGGCATGTTATATCAAGTTATACAAATTGTGAAAAAGAACACGTACCACGGTATTAACGTTATTAGAAGCGAGGATTTGTTAGAATTTGTTGACCAGTGAATTAACGTGCTCGATCAATTCATAAAAGTGTCAATTTGTACGAACAAAGTCTGTGCTATATTTTATATACGTAGAAAATTATTTTGAATTTTCTATGATTTAATAAAAATATCTTCAATATCTCGAAACCATCTTCAAATACCAATCATGCATTATTTTAATAAATTTAATAAAATTTTTATATAATCACCTTATATGACTATCATGATGATAACATTATTGATAAAGTATATATATTATAAAAAAAAAAATATCAAATTCATATCATTTATTCTTAAATAATATTTTTACAACACTTAGTTCTAAGAAATATTATTTTGTACAATATATTCATTCTAGACTGTGTAACCATAAATTTCTCACAACATATGAGAATCAAAATTTTTTCATCTGATTTCATAGTTATGACATGCAACGCACTACAACCGTTTCCGGGTATGGAATATACAAAAAGATTGGCTGCAGGCTCCAAATCTCAATTAATACTCGGCAAAGTGAAATAATAAACGAGCGGACGGCCGCCGGCTGATAAATGATGCCGCTCTGGGCATGATCCCTCCTCGATCAACGGCTTGGACCAATGTTCACGATTCGCATGACTACGCACACATCGTGCATCGAACGTGCGTGCACGCGAAACGACCTTTAGGAGAGGCGCAAATTTGTTCATTGTGGGCCTCTTGAGATTTAAGCGACAGACACGCCCCTAGGGATCCATAGGTAGTAGAGCTTCCTTTTAATTGAACGCGTAACGTGGTAGAAATTTTACAAATTTCGATATTGATTTTTTTCATTTCAGATTTTTAATCTGAAGTGAAAAATGTGAATAAATAATAAATAGATGGTAAATAATATTTTATCGCTATTTTATTATATGCATATTTTTTTAATTATTGTTGAAAGTTATAAGTAGGTGAATCTAAAAAATTTTTATTTGAAATAAAATTTTGTTATTTTTTATAGATATTGTTATTTTAAAGTGCAGAAAATATTTTTTAAAAGAATTTATTCTTTACAGGTTTCGTAAGATTTATTAAGATATCTTTACTGATCCTTAAATCTAAAAGTCTCTTTTAATTCAAGATGTAGTATTTTCTATGTCATTATTTAAATTTTTTAAATTAAAATAATATTAATAATATTATGAATATCATATGTTAATTATATATATCTGAAGTGATTTCAGGAAAAATAATTCACGATTCAATAAACTACCTAAAACTATTGCTTTAAAACTAAATCTGAAACGGATCTATGAATGGGCCATGCTCAAGAAACTAATTGATTGAATGCACGAGAGATATCCCAGCCTTCTCTGGTTTAATTAATTAGGCTCGGTCGTGAGAGTAGGGATCTCTTCTCATCGCCAACTATAAATCGGAAAGAGGTTTCTATACGATTAACCGCGCAAAAACTTTGAATGTCGTTTGTAAAATTTACGGACGATATATTAATTTACATTAGTATAATATTCGGAAAGATTTATCGTTCGACTCAATAATTGGATTATTAAATTCGAAAAATTTGTTAATAATCTTAAATCGAATGATCTGACAAAACTATCAAATAGAATAAATCATAAATCTAAAATATATATAAAAAAATAAAAAAAAATAAAAATTAAAGAGTCAAAAAATATTTACGAACATTAGTTTAAAAAAAATTAAAATTTCCTTCTATTTCAAAAACTAATTTTATATAATCTATCTTTTTCACATTAAATTTTAAAAAATTAAAGATACTATATCTATATTTATATTTATAATAATACTAAATTTCCCAATAAAATCTAATATTTCAAAAAAATTATATTCTTTTATAAAAGCATGATCATCGATTAAAATTCATCCTTCTAATTGTTCATTAGTCAAGAATCGCTTAAACCAAACTTGTGTAAGTACTAAGGTTTCGACTGCGATTAATTGACAATCGAACGACACGATGCAGCTGATTTGTCTTTTTTCTTTCTTTCTTTCTTTCAATCCAGTCTCTGTTGTTAGAGGAGCAGAGAACAACAGGGGGATAAAAACAACGAAGGGAAAGAGAGAAAGTCATTGTGAATGCGTAGAGAGATAAACGCAAAGATAACGCGTATCTGATCTGTATGCAATTTTTTTCTTATCAGTGTGTCATGGCACACATGTTTGTACTTATATACCTGTGCGTTATACAAGTACGTGTATGTAAGTATAGGTTATGTTTTACCTCGATAATATTAATTGGTACACGAGTAATTCACAAAGGTTATTGTTCGGCCCAGCATGCAATCAATGAGTTAATTACATTATGTCTTTCGATTTATTCTATGTTCACATATTTATTTCTTTTTTAACTGGACAACAGACATATGAAACTTGTTTTATATCACGTTTTAATCAAAATGTATACAGGTATAATGAAACACAATATAATTTCAGAAAATAGCAACCAGAGACCTCTTGCGGATTAATTTAGCAACTAATAGTATTAATAATTTAAGAATTTACGAGTTATATTTTATAATTTTTTATTTTCTCATTAAATAAGATAATGAAACTTATAATTGCTAAAATTTATATATATAAAAGTTTGTTATTACATTTTTTATTATTAAACTCATGACTGTTATGCAGTAAAAATTCTTAGTAATTACTCAGTTATTCAATACACAAAATTACTTAAAAATAGGTTAAAAAGTCTTCGAGAAATCAGAAATTAAATCAAAAAAAAAAAAAAAAAAATTAAGAATTTCAAACGAAAATCGAATCAATTTCGATCGAGAATAATTCTTCCTAATAATTTTTTTACTTCAATCAAAATGTTTCAGTTATTTGGTTAGAAAATCGCATTAGAATAGCAAAAATTATACATGATGCGCGACACGTTGTATTAATCGATAGTGTTATGTCAAAAAGAAACGTGGCTCGATTTCTGAGAGAAGATCGAAATGCCAGAAGGTATAAATCACAGGTGGGAAATTCAACTTTGCCTTCGGCAGATCATAAATCAATGACCGTCCAGTTAAACGTGAAATGATTACTGACCGACGGTAAAAAGAGTGACAAGGAGAGAAAGGATAGAGAGAGGAAAATGAAACGAAAAAAGACAAGAGTATGTAATATCTTCGAAATTGGCTGTCGTCGACGTTGTCTTTCTCGAGGTGTCGGTTGTGCAATGGTTCTTTTTTTTTTTCAACGATTCTTCTCTTCATGGTTCTTGAGATAATTCATATACAGAAATTCACGTGTTCAATGTTCGCGTATTTAACTTAGCAATGATGGATCGAAGAGAGATTTTATGATTTAAAATATGGTAGAATCTTTTTCATTGAACAGATATTTTATTATGCGGAATATAGTAATTAGTTCTATTTTTAATTCTCTCGTTCGCGAAAATTAAAAATTCAATCGTGAACTATTCAGGCATCCATGCATTAGATAATTTAAAAAAAAAAATTTATTCCATATTTTTTGATTTATTTCATGAACCATTCCTTTTCTGATTGTATTTATGATTTATATTATTTTGTTTTTTTTTTCATATGTTCAATGTTTTTTATTTTATTTGTTTTCTTTTCAATTTTATTATTCCACACATATTTACTAAAAAATATATACATATAGCTGTTGATTTATTGCAATATTAAAATATTACTGTCTCAAGTCACTCATTTGTAGCTATTAAACCTCAATCATGTTTAATCATAAATTCTTATTATCACGTAATAAACTATACGATGAAAATATTGTATAATACATACTTGAATGTTGCATTATATAATTGCAGTTCATTAATTCCATTGTTTGAGAACGAGACATTTTCACGCTTCGTCTGTCAAATTTAATCTCAAAAGTATATATTCAATACGATGATAAAGATTATACAAATATTTATTCAATTTTCCCTGTTGTTGATTCCTGATTATTTGTCAATCATAATTGTCCAATCTCATTGTTTCAAGCGTTAAACCATAAAGTAGATTTTATTTAAATAATAAAGTAGAACATTCATTATCCTAATATTCTAATATTTATCTTATTAATTGAATAAAGAATGTGTTCTAACAACAGATCCTATTTTTAATTACTAATTAATTTTAATTAAATATTTTTTATTAAATATTTATATATATTGTTTTCATTGTGAAAACTATTGTATGAAATATAGAAATTGAAAAAAAAATTAAATTAAAATTTTAAAAATTTCATAAATTTTTTCGTAATAAATCTATCGAAATAAACGAAGTTATTATTGATATCTATGTTCGTTAATTTCAAATCTAAAAGATTCAATTGAGTACAAAATTAACAATAATAATTAATTAAATACAATAATTTTAATATTTGAAAAATTAAAATTATATAATATAATATTATATAATATAATATTATATAATATAATATTATATAATATCCGTTTAAATAATATTATTAGTCATTTTAAAATAAATAATCTAAAATGTGTAAAAAATGTGGATATCAAAGAATTTTTTAATTACGCAATGATTACACAACAAAAGAATCGAAAAGGAAAAAAAAAGAATGAAAAAGAAAAGAATGTAAAAAGAAAGAATAGAATGAAACATTTCAATGATCATAGGATTTTACAATGGCGTTCCTGGTTTACGATCCACAAAAAAGCGAGTCCACAAAATTCAAGAGGTAATTTACAACAGGTCGAAATTCGTCATTTCTCTTTTCTACCCTGAGAAACCATTCCAAAAGAAAAAATAAAGATGCTTTTTTTCCGAAAAATTCGACTAATAATTCGATTAATAATTAATCTAATAAATCTGAATAAATTGTATTAAATCAATCTATACATATACTAAAAATATTTTCAATTTCAAAAAAAATTTTCTCATTAATCACAATCTAACAAGCATAATAATATGTTCCGTATATTATCAAACACATCGATAAATGTCGTTATAATTTATCTTACTTATAATTTATCCAATTTCAAAATCCACAAGTATCTAATCTTATAAGTCAGTTAATACAAAATCAAATCTTCATTGAAATAAAAAAAATGAATTCTTCGATCGATCTTTTTTGTAGGTGTTTCTCCAAAGAATGCAATCAGCGAGTAGTTAAGAAGAATAATAGGAGTCATTTTTTATTGACCAGCACTTCGAGGCGACGGAGATGAGCTGACAAAGTGAGAAATGCCAGGGTGAAGAGGTCAAACGGACCTCACTATCGACTACCGGACACCTAAGATCCTCGTATACATTCGTCACTTGGCTACATAGATGTTTAATGCCATAAGTGAGTAACATTCCTAATGATTTATCGTTCCTTATACGTTTCGCCAATGATTGTAAATAATTTTTCGCAATATTTTAAAATTATTTCGATCTGCGTATCAATCCGTTCCAAAGATATTTTTTTTTTTTTTTGGAGAAAATGTTACTTCTCGAAGTTTGCGTATTTTATATCTGACGTTTAGTGTATCGCAATAGTAGTAAAATAATAGAAATATAATATAGTTAAAATGTTCAAAGGACTGATAAAATATTTAAATGAATCTCAATTATAGAATATTATTCGAAAATATAGAGTTTCGAAAAAATAAAATATATAAGTTATGTCATACGATTAAATTAACATCATAAAAAAAGAATAATTGTATCATATAATAATATTTTAAAGTATTTATTTTTGGAAAATTTTCAATCTTAATATAGTTATTTCTTTTTTTCTAATTTTCAAATCTTAAAACTATCTTCTAAAATTTCAATCCACTCACCTTCATCTTCCTTCGTTCCAGAAATTTTTAATCTCATAAACTTTCTCTTTCCGATTCCATAATCATCAAACAATCAAAAAAAAAGTTTCTTAAAACAAATACACGTGCTATAATATTATGCCCTCCATTCACGAAGTCCGTATTCACATCACTCGATCCATAATCGTAAAACTGAAACTCGCGTTTCAATAATTCAACTCTTTCGAAAATAAATTTAATATTGAGAAAAACTATAAACAATCACAAAAGGCAAAAGAAAAGATATTGTTGATCAACTGGAAGATTGAATAGAATCACACGAAATATCCCGTCCCGCTCCGTAGCCCGGGAAAGACTGGCATCCTCGATTCTGCCCCTTCCACACGTCGTTCGTTCCACACACGTTCGCTCGATTTCTTTGCACAGCTTCTACTCTATGCATTCGCTTGTCTATATATGTATACGATTTGAGTATGTGTACGAGACACTGCACGTGGAGGGGATTCGTGTTGCGTGACTCGATTCGGGGTTGTTCGTGGCGCTAGGTGGCACAGAAATGATGCTTTTCAAGACGAAGACTTCTGAAACGAGAACGAAGCTCCGCCTATTAGAACACGCCCATGTTCCGTGCGCTCCACTGGAACCCCTGCTATCGTAAAGTTCCGAGGTTGATAGAGTGGGGGCAATCGCGATTCTCTGGAAGCGAATCACACGGGAATGGAATTTCTGCGGGCAACGTGTTTCTCGTAGCGGTGTCAACTCTTCCTATTTTATTTTCTTTTCTTTCTTTCTTTTGATTCCATCTCTCACTTTCTATTTCTTCCCTTCTCCTTTCGTCATCGTCTTTGAAATTCTCTTACATTTTCTTATGAAGTTTTCTCATATCTATAGTTTACATTTCTTTCCATTCTTTTCACTTTTTTTTATTCATTTTAGCATAGGATTATTTGTTTCTTTTTAGAATTTTAAGAATCGCGTTTTTTCTGTTTGTTTTTTTTTTCGTTCGTTTGAGAAATATTTTCTTTTTTTCTTTATTGGTCTTGTATTATATTTAATCTCAATTTTTATTAATACTATTTTAGAAATTCTTTATAGTTGCAATCAGTCATTTTTTTTATAAATTATTTATGTTTAATTACTTATCATGTTTATAGTTAAGAAAGTATATTTTAAAAAAAATTCATGTAGGCATTGATATCATTCCGCCTTTATGTTGATTATTCCGTTAAATATACATAATCAATACCTCCTCGATTTCCTGAAACATTAACATTTGCATGTGACAATCAAGTGATTACGTGTATTCTTCGAAAAATTATCCATCAATCATGCTCATAAAGTTTTTTTTCAATAATCGATAATATATATTAAATGTCACGTATTGGAAATTACACAATTCATGAATCATGCAAATCACTTCGAGCAGGAAAAAGAATAATTTTATTGTTTTCGATAAACGATTTTGTTTTCGATAATCATTTTATTGCTTTCGATAAACAATTTTAATATAATTGTCAGTTTATCATATGTCTCAACATATAATTTATATCTATAACCATAGAGAAAAAGAATCTCTAATTATTATCTCATAAGTAATATATAATTAATAAATATTTTATAATTTATTTTATAAATTTATAAAGTCTCTAGCCACAGAAAAAAAAACACTAGATCAAAATAGTATCTATGATTAAAAAACTTCTGTTCTCTAAAGCAAGGTCAAAACTTGTGACTCGGTTAAGCGTTTAGTTACGGTTTACCCTCAGACGGTCCACTATCCCCTTCCAGCATATTATATTTACGTGTGGATATATATTTTATATTCCCTCCGTTCCTTTTTATTTTCGATGAGTTTGGGTTCTCGAAGAGGTTCGAGCACCTGTTTGTATTTCTGCTCCGCCGACACATAAATCATTCTCGAATGGACTAACGCCTTTTATCACTGCTATATCCCTCTCCCCTGCATCATCCTCTTCTATCGAAATGATGCGAGTAGATACATAGACGTATATATACGAGATCCTAGATTCATATACGCCCACACCTAAAATGAATATGAATTTCTTTTTCGGTTTCAGAACCCGAGGAAAACTGTCAAACGGATTTTCGACCCTATCTACTGTCCTTTTATTGCCATCCTATCGATGTGCGCTCGTCGTGCCTGTGCATCCGTAAAATCCACTGTTTCTAGAATTATATGCCTTAAAAAGGAAGAAAGGCATCGATAGAAATGGAATTAGTACGTTTGGATTACGTTCATTAGACTTTTAATTTTTTAACATGTTTGCTACCACATATATCCTTTTTCTTTCGATGGATATTACTTATTAATTTTTGATGAAATTTTTATTCAAAATGGTTATGCATAATTTAAAAAGCAATTACATTTACTCATTAAATTTTTTTTATTTTTTTCATATTGCAAAGAGTATAATACTAACCTAAAAATTTTCCTTAGAAACGGCAGTAAGGAATATGTTAAGTATTGATGTATGTAATAAAGAGACTTCAATCAGTATTTATGTTCATATTTATTATTAATTCTAACATAGATGTACAGATCACAAATACTGATCATTTTCAATATCTCTTTCTTCTAAAAGTATCAAAGGAACAAGAAACGAATTCTCTTCATTTATCGTCACATTCCTCCAGTCTCCAAGATGTATCTAATATTTTCAAGATAAATGCGCGTTATATGTTTTCAATGGAATCGCGATACGCCTTCTATTTGTTAATATCATCGTAGGCGCGTGTGCGCATGCTTGTAAACGCAACGCGATACGGACGTATAGGTTAAGTGTGTAAATGACGTTTACGCGTGCGAGAAGAAGCAACAGGGGCCGTCGTACCCGCGATCGGCAGGATACGGGCCATTAGTAACGCTTACCCGGCATAAAGCGAGAAAAATGGCGGTCGAATTATTCCGCTAGTGGGACCGAAAACGAACAAAGGTCTCTACCTCGCGAGGACACGCGGAGGATTCTTCAAAAAGGAACCACGGGGTTCCAGCGATGCCGATTCTTACTAAGGGGACAACCGTCGCATTAATCGATACTATCGAGAATCCTGTTCCGCGATCGATGTCTCTTTCTCCTTAGAGACGTAAATAATAAGTGCGTACATCGTTTATCACGATAATTATTATATATATATATATATATATCATATAATTTTAATCTTAATTTTTTCAAGACTATCGAGAAAATATTCTAAGATAATTTTTATGGATATATTATAAACAAAGTTTTATATACAGTATAGTAATTTCTGAAAAAAAATGTTTAATTACCATTATGAATCGATGCGAATAGAGAATAAAAATAAAAAACTTTAAAAGTTATTTTTCATTAATAAATATAGTGTTGAAAGTACTGTGGAACGTAATATCCATTTGCAAAAAATATTTTTGAAAGTAACTCTCAAGTTTTATTTTCAAATGTAATTATTTATACTTTATTAATCGAATATTCTTTTGTAAATTAACAATGTAAATGATATTGTAATGATAATATAAACAACATTGACAAAATAAAAAAGTGAAAATCGTGAGAAATGAGCAAATGTAAATCATGTTTAAAAAGTTTCCCATTTTCTACCGAATATTCAACATGCTGGGAAAGAGTCCAAAACTTGCGGTTTCTTTTCAAACATTTTTCGAGAAATTTTCCAACGTCCAAGTGGAATTATCATGATAAAAGTGGTCGCAGAGACCTGTTCACATTCAAAATCGAGGAGATACATTGTCGCATACAGCCCTCGATACCTTATAAAAGAATACAAATTCGAAAAAGCAGTCTGACATGTCACTCGCATTGGTAACCACCTGCTGTGCAAACACGCACTGTTGTCAAAATCCGACCACACCATAACCGACTTTCTTTCTTGGATACCTTCACATGGAACACTTGAATTTAAAGGGAACACTGATAAACCTAGCCTCGACCTAGTCTTATATTGGCTGAAGTATAAAGCATTTTGTAGTTTTAATTTAATGAAGTGGAAATATTTACGATTCTCGAACTTTTTTAACAGTTTTTTAACAGAAAACTCGTTACAAAATAATATTTATAACAGAATTTTAATATTTTATTAATACTACATATAAACATTATTTCGTCAATAATGAAGTATCATCAACATAATAAACTAACAATGTTTCGAAAAATGGGAAAAAAATCTCGTAAATATAAAAATTTTAAAAAGAGCACTTTTCAATACTAGTCGAGTTCATTAGCCAGTAACCGTATCGTTAACCTTCGTTAGCATATCCACGGCACGTCTGCGCGAATTCGAGGAATTGCTTCACAACCGGAAATTTCGCGAGATATTTATGTACAGGTAGTACAGAGGCCTGCAACTGTATCACTACGGTATAGTCCTGTAATTTCGGGATTTCCACTTTCAGAGAAGCATGGTAAAGTCGAAGAAGGAACAGGATGGAACGAGGGACTCAAAAGGAGTATATACGCGACTGTAGCAGCTTCCCCAACGTATCTCTCATCCTCGCGCTCTCAGCTTCCTGCTCTGTGATCTCAGCCCATCTGAGTTTCATCCCTCTTCAAGTTAGCTAACAGCAGGATCCTGCACAATGTAGTCGTGATTGCAAATCCGCTCGTTATCATCAAAACTGCGCCCAACCTAACGAAACCCACCCTCTTGCCTCTTCTCTCTCTATCTACTTGATTCCTCTCTTTTCATCTTTCTTCTCTTCACCTCGCCTCAACCGTTTCACTTCTGCGCTTTCTATCTTCTGTTACTCTTTTAACACGACTAAGTACTTTTTAGAAAGACTAAAAAGATTTTTTAATATTTTTCTCCTTCAGGAATTTGAAAGTCTATCTACATCTGTGTCTCTCAACAAAAGACATATATGTTTTAAAATATAATTTGAAAGTTATATATAGACTGTAACTTGTAATTATTATTAAATAAATAATTATTGAAATATTATCATTGTTAATACAAATAATAAAAGAAATTTGAATTTAAAAAAAAATCTAAAATTTCCAACATTCGTAATATAATATGAATCTAAAGATAATTTTATTATTAATTCGTTAATTCTTTCATCGGAAGCTTAAAAATTTTCGTTAGATTTGAATCTGAGATTCAAGATAAACAGAGTATAATAGTTCAATTGTTCGC